TTGAAAGTTCCCAATAAGGTTTTAATAAAGTTATAAAGGAAAATAGAAAAGTTATTAGGACTATTATTTTGGACTTTGAAGAACACCCGGTGATACCGTTTGTGTAAGCAGGCAGCTCCTAATTTAAAATCCTTCATGTTTAGTTATCAACTATTAAAGTCTAGGATGTCGATACATTTACCTTTATGACACAGCCTAGTTCTCGATTCTGATTGGTCAGCTTGGACATACCAGGGGTGGTTATTTTTTGCTAACAGACCTAAGGGCAGCAGGCAGTTACTCAGGAGGATCTCGGGACTATTTTCAGGAATATCAATCCGCAGAAAGAAGTCCGGTTAACTTAACGTCAGCAGTGGACAACAAACGTTAAAGAAAAGAAAAACAATGCATGGTAAGAAAAGAGGTTAAGAGACAGAGAGGTGGACGTCAGAGAAAGCAACAGAAGAAGACAGACAGGAAGTAAACACTAAAGGGAACAGCAGAAGAAGACAGACAGGAAGTAAACACTAAAGGAAACAGCAGAAGAAGACAGACAGGAAGTAAACACTAAAGGGAACAGAAGAAGACAGACAGGAAGTAAACACTAAAGGGAACAGCAGAAGAAGACAGACAGGAAGTAAACACTAAAGGGAACAGCAGAAGAAGACAGACAGGAAGTAAACACTAAAGGAAACAGCAGAAGAAGACAGACAGGAAGTAAACACTAAAGGGAACACAGTATGGGCTCTGGCAGCGTTTAAGGTTAATGGAAAATAAAACGTGAACAGACTTGGAGAGTTACAGAAAACCTTGATTAGTGCTGCCATTCATTATAAGTCACGTTGCTGTTGCCACGGATCCAGTTGTTGCTCCGCAGTCATTGGTTTATTTAGTGCGTAGCCATGTAATAAAGCAGCTAATCTGCAGCGAGGTGGTCATTAACCAATCAAGAACACCTCGACCTTACGCTGATGTGTTCGCTGCCTTGGCTCTGTCTTCTCGAACAGATAAGAAAGGTCAGAGGTGAAGGCCCCCCAAGGCCTGTTTTGTGTTTACCAAAACATGCAGCCTATTTTCTTTAAAAGCAGGGCCAGACAGATATTCCTGATCCTTCAGCTAGCTTTAGAGAAGGTCTGTCTAATTGCTCAACCAGAGACAGGACTAAGAAGATTGCTGAATCAATACTTATGTGTCTCTCCTGTTTGTAATTCATTGTGAAGGTTATGAATAATTCACCGGCGGTATTGATCGGACCTGAGAGGCTCGTCATCACCTGTAGAGTTAAAGAGCTTCAGGTGGATCAGACTCCATGAAGTCTCCAGGATCCACCAGGGACCGAGCATCCGACCGAATCCCAGAAAGGAGCCGTGTGAAGGGGCCACAGCTGCTCCTCTGGGACAGCATGCTAATTTAATGAAGCGTAATGCTGTAGCTGCTGGATCTGATGGTGTAACAGGAAACATGGGGAGCCTTTCTCACATGACTCCACAAATGATTAAAGACGTGACCAATCAAACTGATTTAATTTATCGGCTGCAAGTTTTGTGATTAATTAGTTAATTGTGTTAACTGTGCTTTGGACATCACTTCTGGTTATGACAACTGAATCCTACTACTTCCATCTTTTTTTATTGTATTTACTTGCACTATTTTGTCTGTTTTATTGTGTTGCACTGTTGGAGGAGCCTGGGACCTACGATTTCCATGAACTACACTGTAGCTACGTACGCATGACAATAAAAACTTGAATCTTGAAAAATCTTGAATCCAATATACCTTTAAAAGTGTACAGGAGCAATTGTGGAAACAACCTCCCATGTGAATGAAACCAAATGACTAACTTGGGAAAGGAATAAAACAATAGAGAGATACCATTGACTCACTAGGCCTAGGTCATGTCTGAGTGCACAAAGAAAGAAGAAGAAGACAGAAGACAAACTAAAGACCCACAGACGGGATTTAACCCTTCATTGCAAGCTTGAAAATGTCAATTTTAATTTAAACTCTATCGATTTCGAGAAGATTTATTGAGCAATCGACGTGACAGGGTCCAGCTTTATAGCTAATGTTCTAACACTAAAGGCAAACAGCATTATTTGAGCACTAACCATGACTCCTTTATCTATCCATACAGCGTAATGAAAAGATAAGATGAGACGGCACGGAGAGCTCTTCAAACACACGTGAACTTCAGAGGTAAATATGTGAATTATGAGCAAACAGGTCGGAGATAACAAAGAGAACATTAGGCTCCATCTGAGATGAGGAATGCCAGATATCAACAGTAACTACCTGTAACCAATTACCTATTTGAACAAAAACATAATCCATCCTACTCTGACCATGCAGCCCTGGTCTGACCCTAACCAAAACTAACCATAGAGGACTAATATCATACAATCACCACCGCTAAGCTAAAGGAGGCTAATGTTGGGCTATAAAGGAACTACAGCACGGTCACATGACTTCACGTCACCACCGCTAAGCTAAAGGAGGCTAATGTTGGGCTATAAAGGAACTACAGCACGGTCACATGACTTCACATCCCCACCGCTAAGCTAAAGGTGGCTAATGTTGGGCGTGATGGCGTTTGGTCGTCTCATTTAGACACTTGTTAGCAATCTCTGTTTTTAAATCCACTAGTGGGGTATTTATTTTTAAAATACTGCCATAGAAAACCATATCCTGACCCGCTGTGATATTACAAATTGACGGTTCGAGAGCAGCAAATGGCCGATGTAGTTTAGAAAAATTAGACTACATACATATTGGCAGGAATTATAATATTATCATTATAAAACTGCAGATAGATACAGTTCAAATCGAACTGGGGAGATAAGGTTTCTGAATGAATGCACGAGTTATTTGCATACCACAGTTTCCTTCTGCTTATCAGTAATCTTCAGCTAAAATATCCAGGTTTCTGAAACAGGAAACTGTTAGCATGTACACAAAATAACATAAATGTTATTATGTAAAGGTCCGTAGGGTTTACAGGATAAAATACGAACACTTGCTTACTCAATTAATCACAATGTCATGGTAAATGAGTGCAATTTCTGCAGCAAAGTTTCTGCAAACCCATCTAACTTGTCCTCTGATGTTAAATGTTTTTTTGCAGCAACCTAAAACTATGTGTGATGATATTCAGTACCAGTAAAACTCTTCTGTGGTGCGTTTCAGCTACAACGTCTGCAGCTTGGCATCCCTAAGATGAATGAACCTGCACGTTCACAGACTTTATCTACAGCAATCCACTCTGTTGATGTAGTCTGATTGAATTTGATGCAATAATGGGCCAGCCATATCCTGGGAGGCCTAATAGAAAAGCTAATTGTCAACCGGCCAAAACCATAAACACAATAAGTAGGGAACATGCACGTGAAAATCAAGGTTTTCAAGACCTTGTTTTTTTAAACCCAGAACAGCTTCCAGTTCATCCATGATGGACGGAAGCATCAGGTTTTTGAGGTTTAACAACAAAGCAAAAGCCCTTTTCCTGTTACTTTGCCTTCATGTGAAACAGAACATGGTCGCGGCCTCGTGGTCAAAGAAACTACTAATGGTCAACCACCATGACTGATGACTTTGAAGGCAATGAGTAAGGACTCTTTAAAGTAGAGACTACATACTGATATACACCTGAACATCAGCAGGAGAGGACTCTTTAAAGTAGATACACTAGATACTGATATACACCTGAACATCAGCAGGAGAGGACTCTTTAAAGTAGAGACACTACATACTGATATACACCTGAACATCAGCAGGANTAAGATGTTAATAACACATAGTTTTGATGCAACTTAACATAGCCTAAAAATAAAAAATACTATGAAAACTAATATTCTACACTCCGAGCACAGCAGAATGATTTAGCCCACACATAACTCAAAATTAAGCAATACTGCTGCGTTTAATATATCAACTGCTTGTTTCAGCAGTTTTTGTTCGGTTCAGGCACCACTCAAAGTATTCCAACAATAAAACATTTGAACAAAAGTTTAAAATATGAGAATCTTAGGAATAAATCAATTACCTCCAGTGTACAACAACCTGGATACACTCAACACCTAATGGTAGCCTACGGCTCATTGAAGGTTGTTTTGAACGTTCTTTCCCTCTGATATCAGATCCAGGTGATCTCTCCGTAAAGGCCACATTCCTTATTCAAGAGTTGAAAGAATACTGTTTTTAAAATCTAACACATTTAGATTAGTAAAAGCAAATTTCTTAAAAGTGTGTGTGTGTGTGTCTGTGCGTGTTGTGTGGTGTGTGTGTGTGTGTGTGTGTGGGTGTGTGTGCCGTGTGGGTGTGTGTGTGTGTTGTGTGTGTGTGTGTGTGTGTTGTGGTGTGTGTGTGTGTGTGTGTGTGTGTGTGTGGTGTGTGTGATGTGGTGTGTGAGGGCGGGGGGGGGGGAGCGGGTGTGTGTGTGTGTGTTGTGTGCGTGCTGTGTGTTTGTGTTGTGTGGGGGGGGGGTGGTGTGTGTGTTTTGGGAAGAATCATTTCACAGCACTAAGTCCAATAGGTGATGAACTTCAACTCCTTGATGTGTTATGAGTGGATAGGAAAAGTGCACGATAAATACAATATTATCCTCTTTTCACCCTCTGTCTGAAACCAGAGCCCAGTCTGCTCTGATTGGTTAGCTGGCCGGCTCGTTTGAGATGGTCAACCGCTTAGAGATGTCCCGCCTCTTAGCAAATCACATAGAATGCGCAAGCCAATAGACATGCGATTGTTACATAGTGATGTCATTATGCTACAGATGTAAACAAAGGTACCCAATTGAGGTGTTCCCAGCAGATGGGGAGTGTGTGTTCCCTCTGGTGTGCATTTTGGGATTTTAGCCTTTGCAGACCATTAACATGCACAAAAACCTATATTACACACTACAGAAAAGGGAAAACTATTAGTTTAAAGTGTTTCCTTCTAACAGTTAACGTTCACTGTGTCATATCAATATGGCACAGATTCCCTACCGTATATTCATATTATGTTTTTACTGTATTTGTTTACAGAAGGGCTGTGAGACAGGCTGTGCTGAGGACCAGTTCCGGTGTCACAACAACCTCTGCATATCGCTCAAGTGGCTGTGTGATGGCCAAGAAGACTGCAAGATGGGGGAAGATGAGAAAAACTGCCAGGAAACAGGTGCAAAAGCAATGTCCTGTAGTTTGCATAAGGTTCATGTACTGTAGGAAGTGCTACTGAATTACATGTCTGTGCATAGAACATTTCTAAACCTTGTGTGCCCAGGAATGTTTTTTTCTTATTTCTGTTTTCTTTATTATTCTATATATGGTGAAAGAAAAGGCTATCCTCTCAATAGCTATGAGATGTACTCAATGTGATTTAGTGAAAGGTTTGTTGTTGCTTGTCGAAGGTCATTGCTTTCCAAAACCTTTACCCATGACGAATATAAAATGATTCCCTTATCAATGTTAGATTTTGAATTCAAAAGAAATCAGTCCTTATTTCATTGGCATACATCCATTATGTTAGGAACATTGGTTTAATAAATGGAAGAATTGGCTGTATTAATGAATAGTGCACATGCCCTGTACACTATACAGTAAAAAGCATTAGAAAATTAGGGATGGTGACTTCCAGAAACATTTCAATAGTCTCTATGAATTTCCATGCTAATTGCAGTCCTTGAAAATGAATCACTCTGAAATTCATTGAGATACTTTAATCGATAGAAATGGTCACAGTTTCTGCTAAATTTGCTCTGGAAAGTTATACTGTTTATTACTTGCAAAGCACTGAAGACAACATCAATCTGTATTTAGGAGTGATCGACAAATACTCTCCAAGAAACCACTTTTTCAGTCAGCTTTGTGTGAAATCGTTCACTTCTTCACACTGTAGAGCCAAAAACTGAAAAGGTCTCACCTGAGTGATTTGTAGTTGACAAAAGCGGCTTGCTGACTGATATACCTTGCCCTTCTCTAGTGGCCCCTTCATGTTCCTTGAACGAGTATGTGTGTGCCAGCGGAGGGTGTGTGTCAGCCAGCCTGCGGTGTGATGGACATGACAACTGCTTGGATGGCTCAGATGAGGTTAGTGCAGCTTCACATGATAAAAAAAAAAACAAGCAACCAGAAAATCATTTGTTTTGATTTCCTGTGATTGCGCCCAACAACATCACTGGAATTGGGAGTTTTGATGATTTACGTTGTTCCTTTGCTGACAGATTGGCTGTGTGAAGGAGTGCAGGGAAGATGAGTTTCTCTGCCTGAATCGTGCGCACTGCATCCCTCGGCGCTGGCGCTGTGATGATGTGTTGGACTGCATGGATCACAGTGATGAGGAAAACTGCAGCCAGGGTAAGTGCTAGTGTGTTTTTAGAGTGGTGAAGTGATGACGTAGTTTTGTAGCCGCTCCGGAAGTTAGCATCGTAAACTCCCTCAACCAAATTCGAAGGCGTCAGTAGCGCTAAGCTAAAAGCATCTAATGTTTGGCGTGATGTTTAGCCACTAGTTAGCAACCACCGTTTTCAAATCACAAAGAAGCGTTAGGCATTCACAAGTGATGTTTGTACTGACATTTGTTATGTCGTATAGCAAAATGTGATAATCTTGTATGACAGTTTCCCCAGCATCTAACCAAACACAAAAAAGCTGACTTTGAGACAAGGAACCAGAAGTGCTAAAAGGCTAAGTCAATTACGGCTTTTAGGACTCATTCCTGCACCACTTTGGTCTGTGGTGGTTTCATGAGTTTTGATTAAACCAGTTTAACCACATGTTGCTGTATAGCTTCCTGGTAGTGGAACTATACAATTAAAGAAAGATTCAAGTAAACTTACTTTTTTGTTTTATATTTTATTGTATTACTTAATGTCACATTGTCAATCTTAGGTAAAACTAATTGTTCTAGCTTTATCTATTCGCAATTTTCTCCCTAGGGTAGTGTTTTTAAAGTTAAACTTCTTCCTGTGTGAAGTAATTGGTAGCTATGCTTTCAGAATATCGTCCTCAACACTGACCATTTCAAAGCATTTAATAGAAAGAAGACTGAAAAACAGAGAATAATTTGCGACAGGTAGGATGAGAAGATGAGTGGCAGGTTTTTGAATACAGCGAAGATGAAAGATTTAAGATGAGATGAATAGATTCAGATGTTGCTTTTGTGAGCCAAAATGATACAGGTCTGTCTGGATCATTATGTTAAATGATTTGTCATTGTAATCTTGTCATAAAGGTTTTTGAATCATATCTTTTAGCACCTTGAATGCACTTTTTCCAGCTCATTTCGAGTGTCAAAACGTCTTGAGGACTTATCTGTGTAATTGCAGGTGCTTTCTTCTGCCGGGCGGATGAGTTCATTTGCAACAACACCTTATGCAAGCTTCACACGTGGGTGTGTGACGGCAAAGACGATTGTGGAGATAACTCCGATGAAGACGCTGACATGTGTGGTGGGTTCAGAGTGTCACTCACGAGGCTTTCCTTTGAAGATAGTCAATGCATATTTTATAAACCACTACTGTACTTCTCTATTTTTGCAATAGTGAATATTTCATTGTCTTTCCCTTCAAGATCGCATCCAGATTTTTTATTTTTTCAAAGACATATTAACTTTTCTTTTTATCTCCAGCAAAACTTCCCTGCCCTCCTACAAGGCCATTCCGTTGCAGAAATGATCACGTGTGTCTGCGCTCAGACCAAGTGTGCAACAAAGTGGACGACTGTGGTGACAACTCGGATGAAGAAGACTGTGGTGAGCACAGAATGCACTTATTAAACCCAGTAGCGTGGCGTGGGAAAAAAATTAGGGGAAGCCAATAATACGTCCTTTCTTTTGGGTCTGAGGTGTGGTGGTCAATGTAATAACGTAACCAGATGAGTGATTACAGCACCCGGTATCATTTTAAACACATTTGTATCATACAGATGCAGCACTTACACACGCCTGTTATCTAACCGACAGGTCCGCACGCACTCTCCAGCCAAAACTCTAATAAGCATTCATTCACAAACTAAATCAGGAGACCTTTAACGTTTTACGTCCGATTCGCTCCGTTGTTCCTCGCTGTACACAGCTACAGTTTGGGCATTGGCCTGTCATCAGATTGTATTGGTTGTTGCTGCTGCAGCGGAAGTTTAGTACAATTATTTTTGATTAAATACTCCAAATCTCCACCCTCCATAATTGCACTTGCTTCAGTTGCTTGCTACTTTCTAACGGCGGTGAGAGTGGTGCAGTGACGCTATCTATCTTCTATCGATTAGATTTATGATTCGAAAATTATAAAAGTAGGGTAGACATGTGGATATTATCCGACTGAACAAAACGTACCTAACAGGTTCGTTTTCCACAGACCTTTTTTCGAGCTATTTTCCAAAACCCTGTGGAGAAATCCCATTGCTATTTTGTCGAGGTAAACCGAGCGCAGCTTACTTCCGCTTTTTGGGACGCGTCACTGCACCACTAAGTTGATGCGATTTGATTGGATTGTGAGGCAAGGGAAGCCAGCCGCCTCTGGCTTCCCTTGGCATGGCCCTGACNGTGTATATCAGTATGTAGTGTCTCTACTTTAAAGAGTCCTCTCCTGCTGATGTTCAGGTGTATATCAGTATGTAGTGTCTCTACTTTAAAGAGTCCTCTCCTGCTGATGTTCAGGTGTATATCAGTATGTAGTGTCTCTACTTTAAAGAGTCCTCTCCTGCTGATGATCAGGTGTATATCAGTATGTAGTGTCTCTACTTTAAAGAGTCCTCTCCTGCTGATGTTCAGGTGTATATCAGTATGTACTGTCTCTACTTTAAAGAGGCCTCTCCTGCTGATAAAAGTAAAAGACATTAAAAAAAAAATGCAGTAGACCAAATGGTTTAATATTGTGCCGCCCTTAACCATTAAAATAATGTATTAACCGTTTGCACATAACTCAAATCCTCCTCCTCACCTGCCGTCCAGGTACCTGAGCCGGATGTTCGGGATGCACCCGAAGGAGACGGCGCGGCAGCTGAGCCTGGCGGTGAAGGACGGGCTGGTGGTGGAGACGCTGACCGTCGGATACAAAGGATCGAAGGCCGGCATCGAGCAGGAGGGATACTGGCTGCCCGGGGACGAGATGGTGAGCTCAACTCTGGAAAACACCTTCATTGGGTTTCAGACTGCTGGTTTCATACAACCAATACTCCCAAACCCACAACAAATACATTTACGAATACACTGAAAAGCATTAAAAACTCAACATTTAAGAAGCAGGAACTACACAACGTTTGGTGTTTTTCCTCAAAAGTCAAAGTCAACTTTATTGTTAATCTTTCAGTTTGTGTGTACAGAGAGATCGAAATACCGTTTCCCACAATCTGAATACAAACATACAAATATATATATATATACACAATCAATAGACACATTTATAGTTATACACATGCACACATTACGACATGCATAAAAGCACAACAATCAAAGTAACATTCACTAAAGCAGACTGAACTAGGAATCAGTTCTCTTGATGATGTGTTGCTGATCCCCAAAAAGATAAGATTCACAATTTGTATGTCTGATATTTACCTGGTGTGTGTCTGTGTTCTCACTGTGAGCAACACTTGGGAGAAATCACTGGAAGTCCAACATTTCCTGCTGAATATGAACAACTGTTGGCTTCTACTGGCCTTCTTAATTGTTTTCCAATTGATGGGCTTTAGTTTTAAGATGCAGTAGAAGCTGTCAAAACCAGAAATATAATTCCAGAAATATAATTCTAGCCAATCAAAGCTCAACTGTTAAAATAGACGGTAACGGTTAAGGCTCGTCTGCTTTGTATCGTCTTGAATTATCTAATACTTTTGCATAATAAAACGTCACTGAAAATTCCTCTAACAGTATCCTATACTCACATGTGATGATATTCATTTAAACCAGAAAGGTACTAAAAACTACAATCATTTAATATGAGAGAAACTTCTGATATCCCACCGGAGAAAGTTAGACATGGTTGCTTTAAAAATGACTTGATCGACTGATTGGTTAATTGACTAATCACTTTAATGATTGCAATTATACTAAAAATATATAAAAGTCTTGTAGAATAGCTGCTTATGTCACTAAATCAATTGGATCTCAGTTTTTATTAATAGCTTACGTTTTTTGATAGTTCACGTCCAAAATACTGCTTCCCTTTATTAATGCCTTTATAAACTGAGATGCATGACGAAAGAAAAGGATATTAATGAATGAAAAAGCCCTAATGTCCTGATAATAAACTGACTGTCTCTCTCTCTGCTAATAAAGAGAAACTAGTCCTTTTAGTTTACAGTTTCATTTGCATCAAGTTCCCTATTTGAGACGAGCTCACAGATTCTGTCACGAAGCCGTCCATCTGTCGAGTTGCTCGCCGTGTGAACACAGTGTTAAACACACACACACACACACACACACACACACACACACACACACACACACACACACACACACACACACACACACACACACACACACACACACACACACACACACACACCAATATGTCTGTTGTGCAGAGATCAAGAATGATTAAGATGAGGACTCTTTAGTTCCCTGCTTGTGTGCTCGAGCATCCCTCCTCTGTGCAGAGATGTGATATTAACTTTTTTTATTCCTCTCATGTGAACGCCCTGCTTTAATTCCGTCTTATTTCCCCTGTTAGTTCACAGCGTAGAGATGCTCTTATGTGTCACAGTGGTTTCACAGCAGCACTACCTGGGGAGAATCCACCATGTGTTACGCAAAGGGCACTTAATGGATTACTGTGGCTTTAACGTGGTGTATCTGGTGGATGCTTTAATCCCAGGGCTTTTTGCAAGAGGATGCTCGCAGTATCTGTCATGCTTTTAAAACTACAATCATCCAAGTGCAGGAAAGTCAGAAACAGCTGTTGTGATTTGAGTTATATGAGGATTATTGTATTTGGTTTAAAATGGAGTAGTTACCAAGAAAATACCAATCCAGCATCCAAGGTGTTTGGATTACAAGCCAGAAAATAGTAATGGGACAAAATATGCAAGATTTAGGAATGAAATACCAGTTAAACAAGCGCATCATCTGTGATTCAAAGGAAAGACTTATCATGCAGGAAATAACTGAAAGGACTCTTAGTTTTAATGTGATCATGTGATGAATGCTTATACACAAATAGAAATACCAGTTTTATTGACATTTTCTAGATGTAACCTGTGCTTCCAAGGTGTCACGATTACACGATGATTGGGGAATGTAATGCCTGCAGTGTCAACAGAAGTAATTGATATGATAGAAAAGCACAACATGACTCCAATGTCCAGCGGAGATCAAGGTGTTTTGTTTTAGCAGCCGGACTTATAAACACTACTCTCTGAATCTCTTGCAATCACAGGAGCCGGAAGCAGAGGGAAACAAGGTAAGGGCTGAATATTTATTATCAACCCCCCCCCCAACTAACATCGTTCTGTGAGAAATGGCCACATGCAGCCAGGCTGGGATTTGAGTGAATCTTTTCCGTGCAGGCTGCAAAAGAATTGAGACGGCAGTTTGTTCTGGTTAGTGCTGAAGGCTGTGTTCAAATATAATTATAAAGTATTCTTGCCCTGTTTGTGAGTGAGCCTGTGAGATGCACCTTTAAACCAAATTAGAACACAAGCTGAATTGCCTACAGCCTAAAGAGTGGTGCAGGAATGACTCCTTCAACCAGGAAATGAGTCAGCATTTCTACAGCTTCGGGGCCCCGTGTCTCAACAGTTTTTACATCATGATTTTTGTTAGAAAATATGGTCTGTGGTTAACATAAGCTGAAGAGATTTGTATTCTACGACATAAAATACGTCACTAAATACCCAACTGGTGGATTTAGAAAACGGTGGTTGCTAACACGTGTCTAAATGAGACGACTAAAACGTCATCACACCCAACGTTAGCCGCCTTTAGCTTAGCGGTGGTGACGTGAGGTCATGTGACCGTGAGTCCGTTCTTCGGTTGAAGGAAGGGCCCATTTCAGTCTCAGAGATGGAATTCAATTTAGGTTGAAGGGAGTTTTTCCAGTTTATAGTTTCATAATTTAGTAAAAAATCTTCAAAATCCTCGTCGAGTCCTTCATGTTTGTCCCACAATCTACTCTTGAAAGGAAACCAGTTCCTTAATTTAATTTATTACACGTAAACCGAAAAAAAAAAAATGTCAATATAACCAAATTTAAGTTTCACCGTAGTTGTAGCAGCTACGTGAGTGTTCCACTCGGTGTAATAACAATCAATTGGGCACTCTATGATTTTAAGGAAAAAATTTGTACGTTTACAATTTTTCACTCAACCATGAAATCCGCTGTGACCAAATTAGGTCAGACTTACTTCGTACACAAACAAGTAATCTTGGAATCGAACAAAAAAATCTGACTCGATAAAGATTCAGAATACAACGCGACAAATCGAGGCAACAATAACCGAACTCCTGTTTTACTAAGGATTTTCCATAGTACAACAACAAAAATCACGTTACGCGACCCACAAAAGGCCGCGACAGAGTTACATCGTCGACAAGATAAAAATATAATTGAGACAGGTGATAAACACTGGCGATTGACTTGGGTAGCGAACAGCCTAAGTCAAGATCGTCGCCCGTACCTTTTTTAATTGTGTGTAGGAAAAACAAAATGAGCGACAACGTAGCTAATTTTTATTTCTTTATTTTCTTTGTGCGTACGTTCCTGTCTTCAACATCTAAGTGCCAATTGTGAAAAAGAGACCCTCTTTGTGAGTGGTGTGTGGACGAACGAGGTTGGACGTGATAACAATGTAACCCAACATAGGTTTTGTACACCTTTCGCCCTTTGGGAAATAAACTCAGGGCCAGGCTGGGCAAACTTACGTATTCTGATCCATTCGAAATTCGACGTGGATGCACGCAAGAGTGGTAAAATTAGTCGTTTCGTGTAGATACTATTCACGCAGGTGTAAAGTAGTTCAGCCTCCTGAAGATGTTCTTAAACCGTGTCACGGACGTAACCTGGAAAGTACTCCAAAAAGTGCGTCTTTAATTTTTTCCTGCGTCCATCCGAAGACGCACACAAATTGAGATTTAATATTAATTACCACGTCACTAAGTGGTCCTCAATCGGAGCGTTCCCGAGGAACGCATTTCGGTTCCCCCAAAAAAGGAACCCGGAAACCGCTCGTAACAAAACATAATGTCCCAAACAAGTCCGTCACTATGTAGAAAGTTAACAAAAAAAAAACAGCGCATTTACGTTAGAGGTCTGATTTTGCGATTACAAACCGATATTCCTGATGCGTGCCAGGTACGTGAAGAAAACAAAACGATTCGATTTCCACCATGTACAACCCATAAACCTTGATTGGTGCCAATGTACTGAGTCAGGTGGGCGATTCGTTTCCACCGATTACAACCCGATATTTTCCTGAATCCGGCAAGTGTACCTGAAGTACAGTGGTGGCGATCTGATTGCACCGAATTACAACCCGAATTCCATTGAGTTTGGCCCCCGCGAGTGGTACGAAGTGCAGTGGGGCGTCGAATTCCACCGATTACAACCCGATATTCTATAATCGGCAGTGTACTGAAGTACAAGTGGCAGGCGATTCGATTTCCCTCCGATTACAACCCGATATTCCTGATGTCCGTGCCAGTCCGTACTGAAGTCATGGTGGCGAACGCGATTCCGCCATTACAACCCGAATATTTNCTGCCAGAATCTGGAGCTCTGCCCCTTGTGTGTGTGTGAGTGTGTTTTTGTGTAAATGTGTTTATGTGTGTTAATAATTACACACCCTCTCCTGGACCTCTCGCTTGTTGGTCACCAAACACACACACATACACGCTCACACACGCACTCACACACGCTCACACACACGCACACGCTCACACACGCACTCACACACACTCACGCTCACACACACGCTCACACGCTCACACACACACTCACGCTCACACACGCACTCACACACGCACACGCTCAGACACACGCTCACACACACGCACACGCTCACACACGCACTCACACACACTCACGCTCACACACACACACACACAGACACACACACACACACAGTGAATACACTTCTTTGTACTCGTTCTCTCTGACTGAGGAACTTTCTCTTTCCGTTTTAATTTTTTTTTTAATTCAAATAAACTTTATTGACAAAACACACAATACAAGGTGGTACACCATCAAAATATTGAACAACCAATGTTATAAGTTACAGCCACTTATTTTGTTGTTGTTGTGAAAAGGCCAAATATGTACACCTAGTTGTGACTTCTGTAGTAAAGGGACGATAAAAGACTACAATTCCCACAGTGCCAGCCTATCAACAGATACAGCCATGTATGGAAGAGGCTTAAGATATATGACATAAAGAAAGATAATCTAAGTTTGTTCATCATTTGATTTGGGTTTTTTGCCTCTTTTGATTTGTGTGTGAAAAGAATAGCGAGAAACTAATAAATTGAAAGATAACGTGTTAGAATTGTCTGTTTTTAAAAGTTGTCTAAGTGGCTTGAATGAAATGAAGGAAGGAAGCCGTGAAATTAAATCAAACTGTATCTCTTTCTGTTTCTCAGAATCTGTCTGAAGGAAAGTATAAAAGCTTCGATGAGTTCAAAGCCGACGCTCAGCTGATCGTCCACAACACGGCCATCCTGTACGGAGGTGAGTCCATCATTCATTACGTTCAGTTACAGATTTAGTTTTTCTATTATTATTTTTTGTATTAACCCCTTTTTTTATTCCTCAGAAAAGCCACATTTTAACTTTTATTTCATGGGACACATTTACTATTCAGCTTTAGGCCTTCTCCACTAACATAGATCTGATGTTGAAATCAAGATGAACCACAAAGCATTCAGAAATATAGCAAATACTGCAGAATTGTCCATATCTTTGACTTTCTCACTAAGTGCTCTTTTGTTTGTTTGTTTCAGTTAACAGCGACCAGGCGGAAATCGCTCGGCTGCTTTTCAGCGACACATGCCACGAGGTAACACGGTTTACTTTTCCTTACATTTAACAGCAGCGAGATTTAGTTTAGGTTTTAGTTTAAGGGCTTATTAGCACCGTGTCTCCTTGCTAATTAGTTCCTGCATTAAACTCTCTCTCTCCCCGTCTCTCCTCCTCCAGCTCAACGAGTTGTTGTTGTGTAAAACCTGTTTCTACCTGTCCAACGCGCGGCCAGACAACTGGTTCTGTTACCCCTGTGTGAGTACAACAACAACAACAACAACAACAAACATACACAACTACAGCTTCTCTGGACCAAATGGCTCTTAAAACACACACACACAGTTTGATTGTGTTCTACAAAGCACACTGTTTGTCACTGTTCGAACAGAAACCAACTTTTTTGACACAAATGTTTGGACAGTTTTGAGCCAGAAAGGATTAAACAAACTAATCGACAAAATGCTTTAATAATCCAAAACATTCAACATCACTCCCACTGACTACGTGACCCTTGTAACATGAGTCATTTAAAGGTCCCATGTCATGCTTCTCTGGTTAGTACCCGTCCCCTTGTGTGTTATGAAGGTCTTTCTGCATGTAAACGGTCTGCAGAGCCACAAACCCTCAAAGTACACCCTGTACACCCTCGGAGGTGTGTGTGTGTGTGTGTGTGTGTGTGTGTGTGTGTGTGTGTGTGTGTGTGTGTGTGTGTGTGTGTGTGTGTGTGTGTGTGTGTGTGTGTGTGTGTGTTTGCTCAGGGCAGGCTGACGGACAGTGAGTCTGCGGGGCGTGAAGCTGGAGATCTCGAGGAGGAGAGAAATTCCACAGATCTGCAGACTGACTGCAAACTGCTCACCTCAACAACCTCTTCCTCACGCCCGAGGTGTGTGTGAGGGGCATGTGTGTGTGAGGGAGGTGTGTGTAGAGGTGGGAAGTAGTACAAATACTTTGTTACTGTACTTAAGTATATTGTTCTGGTATCAGTAATTTAATCCACTACTTTTTTTCTGACAACTTTTTACTTTATACTTTTTACATTTTGAAAACAGGTTTGTTACTTTAGTTTTAATCTGCGTTTCATTACATCTATCATTACAGCAAATTAGGGTGAAGTGTCTTGCCCAAGGACAAAAAGTGATGGCTACTTTTTACTTAAGTACATTTCGAAGCCCATACTTCTTTACTTTTACTTGAGTGAAGAAGTTTAGTCAGTACTTCTACTTTTACCAGAGTATTTTTAAACACGAGTATCTGTACTTGAGTAAAGGATGTGTTTAGTTTTGCCATCTCTGGGCGTGTGTGAGGGAGGTGTGTGTGAGGGACATGTGCGTGTGAGGGAGGTGTGTGTGAGGGACATGTGTGTGTGAGGCTGTCTGACTGTCTGAGCCTCCGGTCAACACGAGTCAGAGCCAAGAGGCGAGACCACAGCGACACACTCTGCAGAAACTGACAATACAAGCCTGACCCCAGAGACCTCCATGGTTCTGATGAGCAGGGTCGAAAATAACATTGGATTTAAGTTGTTCATGCTCTACATGGATTAATAACTGAATGAACCTAGCAGGCAAAAGCACAGGGGCCCAAAGTATCAGGAACCCTTGGCTGTTAACTACAAAATGACTACAAAGAGGACACGTACCAACAAGGAAGAGACTCAAAATGACTACAGAAAGACGTACAATTACTTTAAAAAGGTTTAAAAGTGACTTGAAAATTATGAAAAAGTGACAAATCAACTATTAAGACACGCAGAAGGAATACAAAAAGACACACAATTATTACAATGAGACTAGCATTTACTACAACCAGACTTTAATGAGATGAAAAATCAATCAAAAAGAGACAATGTCGACCCCAAATTAATAAAAAATAGACTTAAATTGACTGCAAAAAGACATAAAATGACCACAAGACACAAAACAAGTAAAAAAAGATTAAAAGAAAGACACTTCGTACTGTCAGTTAGCTGAGTTTCTTCCCGTTAATCTGGTATGACACATTAATAGGTTTTTAAATATTAAGAAGCCTTGATACCATACTTACCAACCTTGAGACCTCAGAAATCGGGAGCCTTTCAAAATGCAAAAT